GACTTAATTCTGATAATATTATGACTTTATAATGTTACGTTATTCTCATAATTCTCATAACTTTATTCTTGTAGTTAAAAATAATAAGCAATCTCTAGCCTGGTACTAATGCTCCGTCATACAAACAGCATTGTCTATTTGCTCTTTAAGTAAACAAAGATTTCTAAGTCACATTTATTACATGCATGTGTGTTTAAGATGGTTTAGTTAAACCATTTAGGATCTAGTGCCACAGAAAAAGAGAGGGAAGGAGCAAAGGTGAGGGTGGAGATAAAAAAAAAGACGTGGAATGGAGCTGAAACAGAATGCAAAGACAAACAGAGGAGGCAGAGCAGGACAGATAGAAAGAGTCTGAGCTGAAGCTGAAGTCTTGTTCCTCCCTTTCTCTGCTTGTTTGTTTTTTTTTCTTTCTGACTGATCCCATTTGTTCTAATGAGAGTATTAGAGATAAACAAGGACAATTACTGTCCTCAGTGCAAGTGTTCTGAAATTAACTGAGCGTAATCAGCACTTTCGCTTTTAATTACAGAATATCCAGAGGTGGAGAAAGTACTCAGCTAACATAGTGCAGTGCATGCAGTGACAGCAGAATTTTTCTAATTAATCTGCTGTAAAACTAGAGAGAGAAAAGCTCTGAGCTGACACTTTTCTATCGCATCCCTCTGAATAACCGGCCTGAAGTCCTCGCTTCAGAATAATCATCATCTTTATTAGTATGTATACAGATATAAACACAACAGGCACATGTTGACTGTGCAGCGCTTTTATCATCCTACCTGCTGTAGCAGCAGAGTTACCAACAGGAAGGATCCCCTAACCACCAACAAAAACACAATAACAGCTTCAAACATGATGGGAATCAGAACTAACTGCACTCTCATTTCTGGGATGTAATAAATCTTAACTATAGGGAGAAAAAAAAGATTAATTGGAGCTGATTAACTTTGTGTTACAGTTGTAGTCACAGTGTGAAAATGTTACTGGACAGGTTTTTAAATTTGATGAGATTCTTCTAACCAAACCCAAAAAGGGGAATCTAGAGACAAACAGTCGGTAAAAGTCTGGACAGTCCTTCCCTTCCCAGCTGATTTCTCTTTGGGTTAAAACATTTAGAAAACCATCCATCCTTCCATCAATCATCCATCCATCATCCATCCATCCATGTTTTCAGCACGGAAACATGGACTGATGGAGGGACCAGCATCTACACATCCTGGCCGTTCCACCTGTTTTCCAGCTGCAGTTCATTTTAATTCTATTTAAAGTCAAACATTTTCCTCTTTACTGAGATTTTAGATCAGGACGGCAGAATTGAATCATCCAGATGCTCAGGGATCAGTACAGGAGGAAAATGAACTGGATCCAATAGAGATGGAAGCTCCATGGATTCATGGATTCAAACTGCAGCAGCTGAAATGTTTTCCAGTAGGACTGACTATGGACCAAACCAGCCCAAATCAAGCTGCTTTGTTGACTTTTTGTGGATGTGGAGCAATATTTACCTCCTAACCATGACGTCCTTCTCCCTGCACTGTTTACATCAATATGCATTTCTTAAAAAATGTTGATTAGTGATATTATTTTAAAATCTGATCCTTGGAAAAAGAAGTCCTTCAGGAAATGGATTCAGGAGATCCTGAATCAGTGGTTTAATCCTCATAGTTTACTATTATTGCTTCGCTCTTATGTTTGCTGGTCATGTCGTGTCACAGACTCCACCAGTTTCATTTTCATTTATCAATGTCAAGTTTTGCCCCATTGCTGTGCTCTATGCATCCATAGAGTTTTTCTCTATGTGCAGAAAAGCACCAGAACCCGAATTCAATGGAGAGAAGCTTAAAAAAAACATCAAAGAGAGAAGAGTAATAATGCAAAAAGCAACACTTATGCAAATGAAGTACAAAATGAATTCCAGAAAAAAGTGTTAATGGTGTAAATTAATAAGGTAATCTATCAAATTAAGCACCTAATGCACTCTCAGCTCCAGCATTGATGGCTGGTGTGGGAGCAGCACATTAGAGGTCTTAGAACGCGACTTTTACACATTAAACTTGGCCGATGAGGAGAGCTTTTAGGTCGGTCATGTGTCTGAAAATAACCCATTAGCTGCTTTTTTTCAACAAAGTAGAGTTCACCAAACTTCTTGATTATCATCTGTATCTGGATGGCCTATAATGAGAACCAGGGTTAGCAAAATGATGCTAACAGGGCAGTGAATTGATCAGATAATATAGGAACACCTGCATGTTCCACCCTTTAAAGCCCAGACCATTAAATAAGTAAAAGAATAGCCTAGGTTTTCAAACTTGGAGTTGTCATTGAACTTTCAGAGAAATGAAATAAAAAACATACATGTCTAATACATTAGACATTTCTGTTTAATCTTTGATAAATGTGTCTGATTTTGTAAGTCAGTGTTTTTAAGAATATAAATATTACACTGATGATGCAGAAGTCATAAAAACTCAGTTATCAAATATTATTCACTTGGTTTCAAAGGGATAAAGCATGTAGACACCAGTAGAGGCGTGGTTTAGTTCAGATGTCCTGAGAGGACGCCAACTTTAAGCTCTACAGATGACTGTCTGCGGAGATTAGAATCTAAACCTAATATTATTTGAAAAACATTTAACTGCTTTAAAATAAAGACGTCATTTATTTTTTGTTAAACTGCATCTTATTCCTATAAATAAAATAAATAATGAATCATTTGGTCTGAGGTTCAGAGATCAGAAGACTTATGGGTTAATACTTCCTGATGTTTTTCTGAGCTTAAAATGATTTTTACTAGAAGTAGCATTGGAGGTGCTTTTCCCACAGAACTAATTCTAGAACTCTATCATTATCTCCTGGTTATGTGTTATCGTACATTACCAAAAAGCCACATACATTTTAAAGCCCTTAGGGGTGCCACAGTAAGATCAATACACCACAACCTGCTGATCTCTCTACTGTAAGCTAGCATTTCTTGTTTTGGTTTGAGGTTATTTCAGCATCCTGTACATCTACCTACCTAAGCCGAAGCTAAAAGACTTTGGGCTGGATGCTGTCCAGAGGCAGGTCAGAGTTAGAAGGGCTTAAATAGCTGGAAGAACGTTCAAAGGCCACATCTGAAAGGGCTCTGAAGGGTGGAAAGCATCTGAACCGTCCACATTCAACCTCCTGTGCATATTTCTAGAATAAAATTAATAGAACTCAGTTTTACTGTCATTACACTTTCACAAGTAAAGCAACAAGATTAGCAGTGGGCTGCCATTGAGTGGCGAGCGGGGAGAGGTGTGGGGTTAAGGGTCTTGCTCAGGGACCCAGAGTGGCAGTCCATGGAAGTGAGGCTTGAACCGGGAACCTCTGGGACTCAAGCACAATGCCCTAACCACTAGGCCACCAGTCCACCCTACTTCCTGCTGTATTTGTTGATGTTTGGGTGTCTCTCTACAGGCGGGGTATTAACAACTACCCTACGGTATCAAAGGTTCCCAACTGAAACCCTTACACATCCAACATGTGGGATCAAAGTATGTAGTGATATAAAGAGCTTGTTTTCTGTAGTGTATATTTGCAACATTTGTCTAAAGCAGCAGGTGAAATTTCACAGGCTTTTCACCAAAGATCACTACCGTACTTCACTAAAAACTTCCAAAATTCCAAAAGCTCCTCAAACTATATTTCTTGGATTCTCAGTGAAGTTTTGATAGTTAGCACAGCTTGGTAGTGACCTTAATGTCATTCCTTCTCAATACTTTAAAGAGCTGCTTTTGTAAGCTTACCAAAGTTAACTAATGGTATCATATCCAACGAAATGACACCTTTGGTACTACAGAGAATCCTTTGTAATTAATTATTAGATAATTTCTTCCAACCAGAGAAAGACGCTTGCCTCAGCTGAAAAGCCACCTTACCCAGGATGCATGGGTTCATGTCATTGATGTAGCCCTCGATAACGTTCCTTTTTTTGGTAGCTGAACCCAATCCAGGACTCTCACAGCCGAAGACCAGAACAGATTAGCTGCTAAAAGTTCCCCTTTCCCTCATATCTGAGTAGAAATTATGGCACTCTGCCTCACATGACAGCTCATTGATAAAGTGGAGGAAGTGATGTTAGCAGGTGCTTTCTGAAGGGGGCGGATCACCACTGCTCCACCTAGGATGGCGATGGCCACCCGTTCCTTTCCAGGACAGAGAAGCGCTGGTGCTGTTCAAGAAGCAGAATGATCTGCTTGTCACTGGAGACAACCACAGACAGAAAAAGCACAAATATTTGCTTTTACAAGAAAAACATTCCAACTCGCTGACAGCATCATTTAAACGGCTGGAAAAACAGCAAGGAGACAGGGCCCTGGACATGGCCTTGTGGCAATAAGTAAAGAGGCAGAACCCTGGACAGTGCCTGGAGGTAAAAACAAAAATACAAAACCATGGACAGCGCCTGGTGGTAACCAGCATAGAGGCAGAGCCCTAGACATTGCTTCGTGGCAACAGGCAAAGAGGCAGGACCCTGGACATCGCTTTGTGGCAACCAGCATGGAGGCAGCACCCTGGACAGCACCTGGTAGTAACCAGCAAAGAATCAGGACCTTGGACAGCGCATGGTGGCAAACAGCAAGGAGACAGAACCCTGGACATCGCTTGGTGGCAACCGGCAAAGAGGCAGGACCCTGGAAAGCGCCTGGTGGCAAACAGCAAGGAGGCAGAACCCTGGACAGCGCATTGTGGCAACCGGCAAGGAGGCAGAACCCTGGACAGCACCTGGTAGTAACCAGCATAGAGGCAGCAACCTGGACAGCGCCTGGTGGTAACCAGCAAAGAGGCAGGACCCTGGACAGCGCCTGGTGGTAACCAGCAAGGAGGTAGAACCCTGGAAATCGCTTGGTGGCAACCGGCAAAGAGGCAGGACCCTGGACAGCACCTGGTGGCAACCAGCAAAGAGGCAGGACCTTGGACAGCGCCTGGTGGTAACCAGCATAGAGGTAGAACCCTGGACAGCGCCTGGTAGTAACCAGCAAAGAGGCAGCACCATGGACAGCACCTGGTGGCAAACAGCAAGGAGGCAGGACCCTGGACAATATGGACCTTCAAAGGCTAAGGAGAGGCAACGACAGAACAGTTGTGAGAACTGGAAGCCACCCAATGTTCTATTAAGTAACAAAGTCAAGAAAAACGATGGATGTATGACTACTGATTTCTTTTCTTTTCAGTTCTATGCTCAACATTTGATCAGCTGATGATCTTTCGGATTATTAGTCCCGTCTGTTTGTTTTGTCTCTTCTGATTCTTTTGGCATTTGAAGCTCATCTTATGGCTCAGTTGCAATCCAGCAGAAGGAGATTTGAATACTTGTGAATTTTTTTCTGGTCTTACGATTTTGGTCAGAAGAATCCATCAATTCATCTACAGATGAAAATGGAAGTAAAAAAGTTTTGAAAGGAAAGGTGTCCAAACTTTTCACTGTTGTCAACCTGTTACTAACTGCCTTTTTCTGGACTATCTACGTGTTCTAGCTCTATGTGCTTGTTTGTGATGCAGATATTTGGCACACTCACATTAACTCCACAAAAAAACATGCCTGCTGGTCATGAGTTGTCAGCATACAAACTATGAGGTGAAATGATTAGTTGAAATTGTTCAGGCANACATTAACTCCACAAAAAAACATGCCTGCTGGTCATGAGTTGTCAGCATACAAACTATGAGGTGAAATGATTAGTTGAAATTGTTCAGGCACACCACTGGAGATATGAATTAGCTATTTCTGGACAACATTTGGACTCTAGAGCTGCTTGCTTTGCAAATATGAGGAAAACCATAGACCTAACTCATCAAGTTAGAACAGGATTTAATGTCAAAGAAGCTAAAGTTGGAAAATGATGTTAAAAACAAAGAGGTGATCAATTGAGGCACTTACGGATCACAGCAAGGCGCACACACACAAATAATAACTGTGTGTGGCTGGCCTCTCTGCAAACATGGCCTCCTTATTGACAGCTTTGTGACTCTTATGAGACAAACACACACACACACACACACTTTCATTCAGTCATTTAACAGAGAGGAATAGGCATTTACATCACAGAGTTAAAAAGTTCACAGATTTCTTTGGAGGAACATATCAGGACCCTGACTGCAAAGGGCATTGTGTGGAAAAAAAAAGAAAATGACAGAAGGAGAAAGACAGAAAACGAGTCAAGTGAGGAAAAAGGAGAGCGTACAGCAGAGGAAGGAGAGAAGAGTTCAGTAAAAATAATTAGCGGGACTAACATGGCGTTACTGGTAGCTGTGGTGGAAACGTCAGCCGAAGAGATAACTCCACACTTGGCACATTTGAGCGTCATATTGTACAGTGGCACTGTCATCTGACTGCAAAGTCAAATTAACACGCTGTAACATACACAAACAGATACAAGTGCACCTACACATAGACTCACACTGAAATGTGTGTGAATCACACCCCCCCACACACACACACACAGTGTTCTCGCTCAGTCTCTCTCTCAGGGCTACAGTCCAGCATGAAGTTATCTGAGTGTTTGGTTGGAAGTGTAAAAGGGACAGGGAAAGGTCAGGGAAAGGTCAGGGAAAGGTCAGGACCCTGGAGCGCTTATTCTGTCTTCCAGAAGCCAATATATTGGGAGGAGGGTACCGTGGATCTAAATCAGCTTCGATTATTTCATACAGGATGTGGCCGAGGTGCTGATTGTGTTCGAGGCAGAAGCTAAATCAAAAAACATATAGCAAAGAATAAGGCTAAATGATGATTTCCTCCTTCATAAACATCAGGCTTAAACAGGTAACCATGGTTACTGAACCAACTCTTGCTGCCAAATTTTTAGTTATTTCTTGGATTTAAAAATCGAAATCTGTTCACTTTTATGCAATGAAGAGTCCAAGCTTAAAGCAGAACGTTACGATGGAAGGAAGAAGGAAACATAGCAGCTGATGAAGGCTCCTACTCCGACCCCAAGCAATTAAAATAACTCTATTCCAGCCAGGTAAAAAAATCTTGTTGAGAGTAAAACCAGTTTTCTTCAGGCACCTGGAAGGACAGCTCTATAGCTATGATCAAAACGTACTTTCATGCATAAAAAAGTGCAATCCTATAAGGTGAAGAATGGATCAAGCAAAAGATCAGGTTGGAACATTCAGTCCTCAGTGAGAAAGGCCTCTTCAACCGGCCAATTAGATCTGTAGCAAGCCGCCTAGCTAAAACTAAAAAACTGGACATAAAAACGCTCAAACATTCTGGTTATAACAGACGAACACGCTGTACTGACTGATCCGGTTCAGCGACTCATCCGGTTCACAACTGATCCAGTTCAGCAAATGATCCAGTTCAGCAAATGATCCGGTTCATCGAATGATCCTGTTCATCGACGGATCAGGTTCACTGACTACTCCGGTTCACTGACTGATCAGCTTCACTGACTGATCCGGCTCACTGACTGATCCGGTTCACAACTGATCCAGTTCAGCAAATGATCCAGTTCAGCAAATGATCCGG